CAAGGAAATACAAAACTGTAAAATAGTGATTTTCCACACCCCTTTAAATTACTTTACTGTAATTTCTGCATACTTATTATTGTTCTTGTTCTCCTTCTTATTATTATTTTAAAAGTTGATAAAATGATACCTTCATTAAGAAATGAAGCAACTGTAAAATAGTCATTGTAAAAAAATGTATTTTTAACACATTTTTTAAAACATTAAGGGTTAATTACTATAAAAAGGTATTTAAAAGAACTGAATTAGATTTTTACATTTTGCAGCAACGCTGTATTACAAAATAGTTGCATAAGAGTCTTCCCTCATACTACCACCATGTTGAAGGCATGGTCTGAACTCACAAATAAATTTTCACTGATTCTATAAGTTTTTCTAATGCAACAGAAACATTTAAAGGGGAATTCCACATTTTTCTAAACTTAATTTTGTCATTGCGATGTAAGTCATTTAGTGGTTTCATATAAAATGGCTTATTCTAATATATATATATATATATATATATATATATATATATATACATATATATATATATATATAAATAAGTGATACCATTATGCATCCTACATAGAACAAAAAAATAATTATGAAAAAAAAAATTACTAGAATTATTGCTATAAATAATGTTACGTTTTAAAATTCCCTTGAAAATATTTAAAAGTAAAAGATTTATTTTAAAAAATGAGGTAAAATTAAAAAAAATACGTATTATGCATCCTACATCTTGAGACATCTTGGGATGTTATTATTGCCAAGACATCTTAAGATCTGTGTCTATAGACATGTCTTAAAGACACGTCTTCATTTCATAAGACATGCCTCAAGATGTCCTAAGACGTCTTCATAATGTGTCTTTAGACATGTCTTAAGACATCCCAAGACATGGTAATGGCTGGGTATGGCGCTCAGAGTTTCAGCGTGTTGCTCAGTACTCGGTTATTCTGAGTGAATTAGCTTTATTGATAACGGTCTGTAGTCAGAGCGTCTGTAGAGGCTGCGTTTCCCGTAGCAGGTCAGTCAGACGGAGCGTTTCGTACAGTGTGAGTTTATTAATCGTAGCTTTGTCTGAACACGATGGTCTAATAAACGGACAGTGAGAGTCACCAAAGATCTCTCTGTGTAAGATCTCTAACATCACACAGTGTCTGTCTGGCTTTAGAGGACATTCAGCTACAGCTCAACCAGCCAATCAAAAGACTCCCACAGGACGGAAAACCAGAAGCGTGAGCTCCTCGGATGCATCAGCCTCAGATGTGATACATAATAACATTAAAAGATTCAGAGAATCTGGAGAAATCTCTGTATGTAAGGAACAAGGCCAAAAACCAGTATTTGCTGGCTGTGATCTTTGGGCCCTCAGACAGCACTGCATTAAAAACAGACATGATTCTGCAGTGGAAATCACTGCATGGGCTCAGGAACACTTCTGAAAACCATTGCCAACTTTTTTGGAACACGTTGTTGGCATCAAATTCAAAATGGGCATATATTTTTCAAAAAACAATAATATTTCTCAGTTTCTACATTTGATATGTTGTCTTTGTAGTATTTTCAGTTAAATATAGGGTTTGAATGATTTGCACATCGTTGCATCCTATTTTTATGTACATTTTGCACAGCATCCCAACTTTTTTGGAAATGGGGTTGTATTACAATAGATTTATTTTTTATTTATCAGTCCCAGGTTTTTTGTGTGAGGTCCAAACTGAATGTTTTCTTTTCTTAACTGAGAGTTGGGGCCGTATTACAGACACTTCTGAACTCTGAAATTTGATCTGTTTAGTTTCCATGGCGACTTCAGTATGGACTTAATTTCGGACAGTAGCTATTACAGAATAACAGTTCCTACCTTCATAATCTCTAGATAAGAAAACAGCATCACACAAACATCCTAACTAGACTAAACCTCCTAAATCCTGTCCTAACTTTAGGATGAACCCCAACAGGGTCCTCACTTCTGTTTAAGGTCCGTTTCTATGGTTTTTAGGCAGCTGTGTCAGCAGCATAGTTCACTACCAGCATAATGAGCTCCATTTATTTCTACTGTAAAACGCTGCTTTCACTGTGAGATGATTTTCTTTTCTAACTCTGCGTTTTAAAGATCTCAGACGCTGCAGACTCGATCTCCACCGCCCCTCTGATCACCTTCGTGTGTTAATGTTGATGATGAAATATGCCTGAGTGGTTTTGGATTTCCTAACTGGAAATAAGATGCCGTAGGATGCAAAAAGCACATGTGTGAGTGAAGAACCTTTTAAATTTTCAAAGAACCTTTGCATTATGTAAAGGTTCTTTACCAATTTAATGGTTCTTTCTAGAACCTTTACATTATGTTGAGGTCCATTAAACTTTAAAATGATTCTCCACATTCACAGATCTCATTTGCTAACAAGATCTTCTCCAAAGATCTGTTCATTGAAAAGGTTTTATAGGGAAACAAACATTGTTCTTCTTTGACAAAGAAACCTTTTTGGTAGCTTTATTTTTAAGAATAAAGATATGATTTACTTCTGTAATTAATTTGCGCAAAATTTTATCTTGAGCTTCTCAAATCTTAACTTAAGTCCAAATTTAGGAAGTAATTGATTATTATTTATTTGATTATTATTATTTTAGTAAGCAATGATTATTATTTTTTTCATAAGCGGATGAAGATGAACCACCAAAAAGGAGACACAGCTTTCACATGGAATGTCCAAGTAGTAGGTTTATCATTAAATGTCCTTTATGAACAGCTGATAAAAAGGAAACTGAGCTGCTGAGTTTAATTCTGCTCTTTTGTGTTGCTGCATTTGTCTGTCTCTATTTTCTCCCAGTGTAACAGTCCGTACGACTATAGTCCAGTCCGGGTCACCTGCCCCAGTCCGGGTCAGAAACCACATCATACCTTCTATCTGCCCTCCGACACTGACCTGACAGGAAGAACTAAACATCTCCACATTTGGACCAGCAGCTTTGGTTAATTTAGTTTGGTGGTGATTGGTGGGGACTGTCATTGCTGTTAATGTGCTCTGCCTGTAATGTCTGACCACTGCTTAGACTGTTTAAAGTGAAAATAGGACTTTTGTACATGTTTATTTGCCCCTGACTGGCCTGGATCACCACCTGACTACCCCCCACCCCTGGCACCGCACCCCAGTGCCGGTGTTCGGTGTCAGCTGTTGTAAATACACTTGTACATCACTGACAGTGAGGTGTGGATGGATATTAAAATGTGCACTGGCCACTCAAGCCACTGAGTCAATGAATCCTGTGGCTAAAATTAAGAATTTGTGACCAGAATTACAGGAGCTTGTTTACTGTATTTACATGTTGTATTTAAAAATAACAAATTAAAATCCTGAAGTGCTCAAAAACCAAACTTTCTTTTCCTTTACCTGTCCCTGGTTGCTTGGCAATGATACCATACTCTAAAGGAACTACATTTCTTGGTGGAATACTTGTTAATGTCCATTATTATGAAGAATAACTTAACTTTAAAAAATTGTGTGTTTTATCATATTTTATATTATTCACTGTTGTTTAAAAGCAATAAGCCACTCAAGGCTGTGCATTACTGAGATTTTATCAAGGGAAGGTGGTTTTAGTCCACTTCACGTCATGCCTACAAACCCCTACCCCATGATAAAATTGTACAGCAAACAATAGCAGCCTATTTTATTTCAGGCCCAGCTTAAAAACTAAGTAGTTACTCACTCAAACAACGATCCATGTTGCTTCTAAAGGATTAGCCGACCTGAGATTGAGGGACGCTGAGTGGGTGTAATGCTCAGTGAGCAAAGCTCCCTCTGCACCGGTACCTGCTGACGCCTCTCTGAAGGCCCACTTCACCTGCAGAGCTACAATTCAACAGAAGCCCTGATCACACTGATCTCAGACTGAACACACTGAACACACGGAGCCCAGACTGAACACACTGAACCTAGACTGAACATACTGAGCCCAGACTGAACACATTGAGCCCAGACTGAACACACGGAGCCCAGACTGAACACACTGAGCCCAGACTGAACACACGGAGCCCAGACTGAAAACACGGAGCCCAGACTGAACACATTGAGCCCAGACTGAACACACAGAGCCCAGACTGAACACATTGAGCCCAGACTGAACACACAGAGCCCAGACTGAACACACGGAGCCCAGACTGAACACATGGAGCCCAGACTGACCACACGGAGCCCAGACTGAACACATTGAGCCCAGACTGAACACACAGAGCCCAGACTGAACACATGGAGCCCAGACTGAACACACAGAGCCCAGACTGAACACACGGAGCCCAGACTGAACACACGGAGCCCAGACTGAAAACACGGAGCCCAGACTGAACACATTGAGCCCAGACTGAACACACAGAGCCCAGACTGAACACATTGAGCCCAGACTGAACACACAGAGCCCAGACTGAACACAGTGCAGGCATTGCATTCAGTTCAGCATCACTAATCATTTAGAATTGTTCAGCCTGTTTAGTACACTGATTTTCTTTCTTTCTTTCTTTCCTTATTTATCTATTTATTTATTTATTAGGGCTAAGGAAATAAGAATAAATGTTTGAGTATGGTAACTCAGTGTGCACAGTAGTTGAGTACGAAACCTCAGTCAGTGTTTAATTTAACAATATAGTATTTAATTAAAACACACCATGATTTCTGAGCTGAAAATGTGCTTCAGTTACAATAATTTTGCTTCAAACCTGCTTTAAACCATTAAACAGTGTCTATATCAGGTTTTGGACAAACCTTAGTTAACACACAGCAGTGGAGTTTAAGAACCCAAACTGGAGTTAAACTCTAAACAAATAGCTAAACTAATGACGGAGCAATTGCCCCTAAATGTTTTAACTTAACTTTTAACTTGATAATCGCATCCAGCAGTGAAGCTGCAATCCACTGTCACAGTATTTGTACGTGGACCGAATGAATTTATTTATTTATTTGTTTGTTTGTTTGGTTTTTTTTGTTGTTGTTTTTGTTTTTTTTGCTTGTTGGTTGGTTGGTTGGTTGGTTTGTTTGGAAGAGGCTCCACCTTAAACTGGCTTTTTTATTTTTACTGACTGGTTGATTCACCGTCAGTCCGGTAGGTGGCGGTATCTAGTCTGCTCTCCGCCATAAGCAGCAGTAGAAGAAGGGGCCGTTGGCGGCTGAGGGATTGTTTACAGTGTAAGTAGAAAAATAAAACTTACCGTTTTGACACCAAACACAGAGAACCGCACTGAACTGCTGAACTAGTTCACTTTTAAGGACTAAATATGTTAAATAACAGAAGCAGAATTTATTCCGTCTTGATTTCAGCTTCTTTTGCGAAGGTCCACCTTAAATATCTTAAATAGTACAGCCGCTACAGGCGTCAGAATGGAGCTGATACACCATTTAAGGTGGAACTAATATTTGGGGAAAATATGCTACATTTAGCCTCGTCCTCTGTGAGTCTTTAGCTCCTGTGATTTTGGCTCATAATGTTGTTTATAGTTCAGCGTTTTATTCGGCGTTTATAAAACACGGTCAGAAAGATTAAACCGCCCGTTTTAATTCAGACCCGTTTTCAGGCAGCTCTGACTTCCCTGCTGAAAAACCCATAGAAACCATTAAGTGTTTCTGTTCCTGATGGTTTGGTAATGTTTTTTTTTTTTTTCTTTTTTATCACAGTGTAAAGGATCCTAATGGTGATCAGTGGCTGATCCCAGACGCATTTGATGGTTTTCTAACCGGATCTGTGGGTGTTATGCAGGAAACTAGTGGTCTCTATTGAAAATCATTAAGCCGATTCCCATTAAAAAGCAAAACCATTAGATTTTAATTATAATGGTTTCTAGTGGTCTTTTTCCAGCTTATTTTATCTTTGTGTTAGCCATAAGTTAGCCCTGAGTTAGCGGTCTGTTAGCCGGATTAGTTTTTGAAGGATTTTCTTTTTAAAGAGGTGATTTGTTGTTTACCTCTAAAACCTTAATAAAAAATAACATGTTATAGTGCACATAGATTGTAGAGCAGGGGTGCCCAGACTTTTATCAGGGTGGGTAAAAGTGCAAATGAGTCTCGTTCACTAATAAATGAACTAATTTGTGCCATAATTACATAGATTTACACAAAAGTTGCACTGCAAGAAAAGGTATCTTAGCAAGTGAAATGATCTGAAATCTAGTGAAAATATCTAATATTTCTCATTTTGATATGGTTGTAAGCTTATTAAAAGATGATGTAACTTTTTTCACTTTCTATTTATAGACAGTTTATATGTCTTAAGTGATTTTAGTAGGTCTAATTATCTCACAATATTGGCGGATATTTTTGCTGTGTTCAAGCGATATTTCTTAAAACAAGCAAAAGCCTTTGCCGATATAGTGAGAATTTTACTGAACAAAATCACTTAAGTAAAAATCACCATACAATACCATCTTACTTTTGCTCTGCCTTTATATAGCTAGTTTGCCCCGTAGTGCAGCCAATCAGAAGTCTCCAAGTTCAGGTCCTGATAAACGGATACGTAAGACAAGAAAAAGAGAACTACTACAGGGCAAGACAGCAAAAACATGCATGTGCACCTTGGTCAGTGTTTTGTGAAAGTTATTTTTTCTTTGAAATAGGCAGGCTGAACTCAAAACAAATCAAAAAGTTACACAGTATTTTGAAAAGTGGTATATCAGATGCCCATTGGCCCTCATGGTTTCATGCCATGGTCAGAGAGTATTGCAGGTGGAACTTAGTGGTGCAGTGTCCATATGTAGTTGTCTTTGGCTGTAGGTGGTTTGTGGTTCACTGTTCCACGAATTGGCAAACACAAAACTGGTGTTCTCTTTTATGTTGGTATTTTATGTTGGCCAGGGGCCAGTTGTCTTAGCCCACCTAAAGGCTATTACAGGCCCCTTGCTGGATCCCTTGCGGTTTTGCTAGAGTTCTGTTTGTGGACTGAAAACTCAGTGCCATAGTGCCAGAGTTGTTGCAGGTCAAACTGTCCTAGCTGTCTGTGTCAGATCCTTTCTGCAGCTGGATCATGGATTTCTTGAGAAACAAGTTAAAGTGTGGCTAGGAAAACACACGTCAGACCCCAAGGCTGTCAGTACTGGAGGATGATTGTTGACATTTGAACTCGACAGCAACACATACATCCCTTCCTTCAGTGCTCCTTCAGAAGTTCTGCCCTCCAAATTCGTGAACGTGGAAGGCAATAGTCACTGGACCAGCAAATTTGTTTTTTAGGTCTTTGTGGCCATAAATTCCTTTGCAAACATTGTACAGACAAATACTATGATATAACGTTAGATCAAACGACCACATAGCAAGTAATATAACTATCGTTAGCTAGATTGTGGGTTAGCAAACTGTCACTACAAGTACTTACTGGTTCCGTGAAACAGCAAAAATAACCTGTGAAGCAGGAGCAGCCTCCTCATCTCTTTCATGCCTTTCAACTCTTGATGAAGCTGAAGTCAGTTTTTTTTCACTAGCTCCTTGTTTGAATTTTCCTGTACCATTTTAAATGGTGCAGCACTTGCATTCTGTTGCATCAACTTCTTGTTCAAATTCACCCGTTTCACCCTGATGATGCACCAGTTAGGCTGTATTCATGTGCCTCAGCTTGTTCAAATTGTCCCGTTCCACCATAAATGGTGCTGCAGTTACATGAGCTTTTAAAGGATACTCCTTTTATACCCAAACATGATACCCTCATCTGTTACTAATTCACCTGCTTACTGTGGAATGTTTTAAAATGGTCTTTTGAATATTCTGTAAACTTTTTAGTCTTATTTTGCTCCTGTCTAAATGCTTTTGAGTGTGTTGCAGGCGTCCAATTCAAAATTTGTTCTCATTACAATCACGATGGTCAGCCAATACATTAAAAATAATTTCTTTGTAAACAAACGTTCAGGAGAATTAACTAATCACATATTCTTGTTTTTATTGCATTTTTAAAAATTCTAACTCTAAATAAATGCTTTTTATGTTAAGAAGGCGCTCAAGTACATTGTTACATTTTGTTGCATTTTCCCTTGAATTTTGAGTGTTTTGATTTTGATTGTTTTGAGTGTTTTGATTTCGATATTGATCTTCTTTTTCTCTTCTTTCAGAAAGTAACATCATCCTATTGTACATCTTCTGTTGTTCCTACTGTTCCCCTGCCTTCACAGATCAAATTTACCTGCAGCAAGAGGTTCCACCAAAAGGTATTCATCAGACTAGTCACGACTAAATAAATGGAGAGCAGAAGTCAAAAGCAGAAAAATATACTCAAAGATAGAACTCATCAGTGTTCAGAATGTGGGAAGAGTTTTACTCAACTGGGTACTCTTAAAGCACACCAGCGGGTTCACACAGGAGAGAAACCATATCACTGCTCAGAGTGTGGAAAGAGGCTTACTACACAAAATGGCCTGCGAGCGCACCAACGCATTCATACGGGTGAGAAACCTTTTCATTGTCCAGAGTGCGGGAAGAGTTTTACACTACTGAGTAATCTCAGAATACACCAGCGCATTCATACAGGAGAGAAACCATATCAGTGCTCAGAGTGTGGAAAGAGCTTTACTCAACTGAATGGTCTCAAAACACACCAGCACGTTCACACAGGAGAGAAACCGTATGAATGCTCAGAGTGTGGAAAGACTTTCAGTCATCCGATTTGTCTCAGTCTTCACCAACGTGTTCACAAAGGAGAGAAACTGTTCTGTTGTTCAGAGTGTGGGAAGAGTTTTGTTACCCAGAATCATTTCAGAGTACACCTGCGCATTCACACAGGAGAGAAACCGTATTACTGCTCAGAGTGCGGGAAGAGTTTCAGTCAACAGGCTAATCTCCAAGTGCACCAGCGCATTCACACCGGAGAGAAACCGCATCAGTGCTCAGAGTGTGGAAAGAGTTTTACCCATCAGAGTAACCTCCTAAGACACAAGCGTGTTCACACTGGAGACAAACCTTAATACTGCCCAGGCTGGAAGGAGCTTTACTGAATATTACGAATTTAAAGAGACAATTGTGTTAAAAGTGAGGAAAATGTTTCACATTTCAGTCTGAAGACTGTCACTTATACTGACTGAACAGCAGCATGTTTTATTGGTGTTGAGAATGTATTCTACAAGAAAATCTGAAATGCATCCTGTTTGCTTTGATTTACTTGAAATGCACTGCGTAAACAATCACTAGGCAATTGCTATGAGGCTCCTTTCCACAGAATCCATGAGTTTATTGTATTTGTTCATAACCAATTTTAGCAGAAGCGAGCACTACATTCTGCGAGATTCAGTTCATTAGAAAACATTTTCAATCATTGTAAAGTTGGATGTGCACTACACGACTATTACAAACTTAAAATATGTCTAAGCATCACAAACTTTCTCTGTTTTGTCGTGAGGGCACTCACACTAAGACGACAAGCAAAAAGAGAGTATAACACATGTTTCAGCTACGAAGACAGCAAGACAGTGTCAAACCACATTCTGCATGTATTACAATAATCCAGATCTGTCACCTTTTGGCAAATTATGACATGAAAAATATGACAAAGGAGACCGAACTGTTGAGCAGCTGAAATCCTATGTCAAACAATTATGAAAAAGCATTTCACTTTCAGAACTGCAGCAGTGTCTCCTCAGTTCCGAAACACTTACAGAGTGTTGTTAAAAGAAGAGGTGATGATTTCATGACGATGATTTCAACATTTGATTTGTTGTCTTTGTAGTATTTTCCTTTAAAAATATGGTTTACATGATTTGCATATCATTGCATCCTATTTTTATTTACAGTCTACACAGCATCCCAACTTTTTTGGAAATTGTGTTGTACATGTAGCTCCGCTGTTCAGGTAGTGTTAAGCACATCTTCACATTTTTCTCTGTTCTTCTAGCTCCTTGGTTGGCTGTTGTTTGAATCACTCACCGAGTTCATCTCTGACCTTCTCACACTGCAGGACTCATGAGCGTTTGGGTCATAGATATCACGTTTGATAACTCCAGAGTTCGATCAGAGGACGAAAGATTCACTCGTTTCTCCTCTCACACAACCAGATCATCTGTGCCATCGATCACTTCCTATTGAACTCCTGACCTGGAAAATCACTTCAGATTATGACAGTTTGTTGAAAGGGGCAAATTGGGGTTAAAATTGGGCTAAAATTTTGTCATGTTGGCCCAACTTAAATCTCATGCTTCAGAAGGTCCCACAGGTACTGTTGGGTTTAAGTTGAGTGAGGAAGGGGCCATGTTATCTATAAAAGCTTTTTTGGCTAGCCAAGCAGCAGAGTACTTAGTCACATGCAATAGGGCAGGGGTTTATAATCCCAGTTTTGGCAACTCCACGCTTTACACATTTTCATGTTTTTCCTACTCTACATACCCAATCCAGCCACCAGGGAACTTGATAATTACTTAATTCTATTAGGTGTGATAAGGGAATGCTCAGAAATGTGCACAGTGAAGCGTCTCCAGGTCTGGCAGTGGAAGCTCCTGCGATAAATCTGTGTTCCTAAATAAATACCATGATCTGCTTGAATTGTTGCTGACGTACCACTGTTTTGATGAAAGTGTCTTCAAAAAACTGGCAATAGCTTTGAGTGTTGCTTCTCAGTCCATCTGTAACCACAGACATTTGTGATTAAAACTGCCTTGATGCACAGAACTGCGCAAGTGTACAAAACTATTTGCAAAGCCTTGGATTTTTTCAGGACCACAGTGGGATCAGTCAATGTGAACTTCAAGTTTTGGAACTAACAGTGCCCTTTTTAGACCAGTGCCCAACCCCAGTCCTAGAGAAATAGTGTCCAGCACAATTCAGTAGTTTCCCTAATCATACATGGCCAATAAACCTGGTTAGAATCAGTCGTGTTTGAGCAGGCAAGTCACTAGACTGTGCTGGTCTTCCAGAACTGGAGTTGTCCTAGACCTCGGCCATCTGACAAACTCAGTAACCAGGTGAGATCTGCCTTTATCAGGGAGGTAACCCAGTCCAGTAGTGCTTTAGAAAGACAAGTCTTTGTTGTGGAGTGGCTATCCCAGACATGTCAAACTGGGTTTCCTCCAGGCCACAGCTCTGCTGGGATTAGCATGCTTCCCTTGCCTAATGTTCTGATTTCAGTTTACAAAGCCTTTGCTGATGAGTTGTTTAATGAGGCAGAATGATGAATTTTGCAAAAATGTGACCTGCAGGGACAAAAGTCTGACACAGGGCTGTCGCAGGTACCTTGTACTGTTCTTCACCTGGCTGAAACCATCAATATGGCAGATTCTCATTTCAAAGAACTGAATCACACAGCCAAGGTGATGTTGGAGTAACTTATAAACTGAAAGTACCCTGTTCAGCTGGAGTTCGTTTTTGAACCCCACAGAACGTTTTGAAGGACCTGCAGGGGACAGTGCATCATCGAGTATGTATGTGTTTGTTCATGATATCTTGTGTAGTATTCCAAGTATTGTGTATTAAAAATAAACAATAAAATATTTCTAATGGAGAATAATGGTTCCTAGCTGGTATTTTTCACCAAAAACCTTTTCACAAAACATCTGGTATTTTGAAGGAATCTGAAGAATTTTTAGCTAAGAGTGAGGGAAAGATTGACCTCTGTTATTTGAACATTTTCCATGAATCATATGACAGTGAGAAGTGCAGAGTAGAACTGTTGAGGATAAAACAATGCATTGAATAAGATCATTAGGCCTCATTCTCCATTATCTTCCTAAGTTTGTAAGTGTGTTCTTGAGAAAGGTCCTAAGAAAAAGTCTATGTCGGATTCATGATGTGTTCTTAAAGCAGAACTGTTCTCACCTTTGTGCTCTTAAATGTGTGTGTAGATTAGGTTCTTACTTAAGAACAAATCCCTCATAAGAGAACATTGGTGAGTCAGAATCTTCATGACAGCATGACGTGTGTAAGTGGGTTTTAAGAAGAAATTTCTTTTTAAGAACATGGGGAATGAGGCCCATTATATTAAGACTACTTGTATTTTGATTGTTCTGTTCAGATTGATGCTAACCCTGGAATTACTATTGGGGAAAGTCTGTAGATGGTAAAAACAGTCATTACTAAATTGGATCATTCTGGATATAAAGTCTCATGTATGAAGACAAAAAATCTTCATATAGAAGAATTTGCCAAGTTAATAAAACTATTTATGTTTGTTTTGATTGATGATTTTGATAATTATTATTGTAATTGTAATAAATGTCTATCAAATCAGACAATTCAAACCATGCATTAGTGATTTTACTACAGTTTTTATAACAGGGTTTTAGGCATTCTTTGGAATGTGCTGTCTATAAATATATCGCTGCTGTCGCAACACACACACACACCATCTAAACCGCCTATCCTTCTGGGTCGCAGGGGGAGCTGAAGCCCATCCCAGCTGTCATTGGGCAGAAAGCACCGTCGGAACAAAACCTTGTATCTCCAAAATGGTAACTTTACAGGGGAAAGAAAAAAATCAATGGAACCAGACTTTTCTCCAAGTCATTTTGGGCCATTTCTTTTTGTCCATTTATCATGAAATTTACAAACAATGTAAAGGCCAACAGGTTTTTTAAACTATGTTATAAATAACATTATTCACAGATGAAATAGCATTTCATTAGCACAGCATATCTTAGAATATCACATCTGGTACAGAAGACCTCTGGACAATTTGTCACAGTCAACTGGATTTTAAAATGTAAAGATAAACAAAGGTACTGTTTCTATAGTACAGATACTGCAATGACTGTTTGGTAACACTGGTGATGTCTCATCTGTGATGGGTACAGTCACCTCACCCTTACCTTCATACATACACCAGAGATAAAGGTTTTAATGGCTCTCTGCTGTTTGCTCCACACAGAAACTGCTTTTGTGCAGCATCAGTGAACTGACAATATCTGTCATCAGTGACCCACAGTAAACATCTCCAGACTACACAATGTCCCACAGTTCATTTGATTCAATACACCATTAACCTGCTTACTGTGGTGTGATACAGATCTCAACAGCAAACAGGGCCGTGTCTGAACCGCCTTCCACCACTACCATATATGTAAGAATGAAGACGTACATTTTCTGAATCAGGGAAAAAATAATTCAGTTTAAAGCGATTTAAAGAAGTATTTTGGACCTTGTTGTGAATTGAGGGTCTTACAGCAAGAAACAGCTCTGACTGCAAGTTATGTTCAAATTTTGTTTTTTGAATTCATTTTTTGTTGCGTTACAAATTAAATTTAAAATGAGCTCTCCTTGATCTCGGGTTCTTCTCCTAGACGTGATTAAGTCTTGTTTGAAATCAAAGTGAGACGGAAGCCGTTTCCTCCTGTTTCTGAAATTTGGCTCCTGAAATAAATAAATAAATACTTTGATCAAAATACTGTCATGTGGATTAACTCTTAAGTGTCTGAGCTGAATAATAGTTCCATAAGAAAAGTGTAAGATTTGATCATTTTATTATACAGCTCTGTTCTAGATCACAGCACAGAACCCTCTCAGCAGTCTCTCAGTGTAGGAGGAGAACTCACCACTGCTGAAAAAAAATCATAGAAACCATTAAAAGTGTCTGTTGAGTTCTGCTGGTGTTCAATAGTCACTAATGGTATTTGGTGTGTTCCTGATTGATATCAGGAACCGGTTGATATCACAGTGTAAAGGATTCTAATGGTTTAACAGGTATTCTGATTCCAGATGCATCTGATGGTTTCCTAATGGGATCTAATCGTGCCCCCAACAAACTAGTGGTCTCTAATGGTAACCATTAAGCCAATTCCCATTAGAAAGCAAAGCCATCAGGTTTAATACTAATGGTTCTAATGGTCTTTTTTCAGCAGAGATGCTTTTCCCACTCATCATCAGAACTTCTTAGAGTGAAATGCGGATGTTAATCTCCTCTTCTGAGGGGGATTCAAGAGAAAAGAGTTCAGAAATCAGTGATCCTTCATTAATACAGCATTGAGATCTGTTTTGTTTATTCG